GAACGGACTATGTGGAGCTCAGTGTTTCCACTTCCCAAACTGAAGCCCAGAGAGGAGAGCTTGGCTGGTCTGGGGCTGCACAGCAGATGATCTTGAACCCAGAACTCTGGGACTGTCATCCTTGAAGGGTCTTTCCATGGAGGATCTGGGTGGCTTTCCAAGTCAGAACAACTCAACAATAATAATGCTGCTGCTGATGACGATGATAATAATAGCTCCCTTCACTGAACTCTTACTTTTGTTATTGATTTGTTAGAGCTCTTTACATATTGAGGAGATTAGCTCACAGTCAGTTCCTGAGCATCTGAGTGGGGTTTGCATGCAGTGGGTGCTCATCACCCAGCCCTGAGTGGGGCATGCAGTCGGTGCTCAGAAAGTGCACAGCCTCTTCCCTAGCCCAAAGCAGCAGCAGAGGTTCAAGAAGTCAGGAGAGGTTATGGGGCTTGGTCAGGAGCCCCTGAGAATTTGAGAAAAGCTCAAAATCTTCCCAGGAAACGCCCCAGACTCATTGTTGGAGCCCAGGGACCCCACCCCACTTGGCCCCTGTGTGTCTCAGCATCCTCATCTGTGAATAGGGTTGGTCCTTGGAATGGGGCATAGGCCCGGCAGGTGTCAGCTGGTGACGCTTTCCCTTACACCCCACACTTTACTTTTTAACCTCGTTAACTCACATTCCAAGGAAATCACTTCTTCTTTCTTTCTTTTTAGTTTTTATTATTTTTTGGCTGCGCTGCACAGCCTGTGTGATCTTAGTTCCCCCACCAGGTATCAAACCCGTGCCCCCTGCAATGGAAGCACAGAGTCTTAACCACTGGACCGCCAGGGAAGCCCCAGCTTCTTATTTCTTGAGTGGGCAGCACTGCCTTAAAAGTAAACAGTCCAGGACTTCCCTGGTGGCATAGTCGTTAAGAATCCGCCTGCCATACGTAGAGCTGATTCACTTTGTTATACAGCAGAAACTAACACAACATTGTAAAGCAATTATACTCCAATAAAGATGTTAAAAA